GGGGGGGGGGGGGGAAGCTTTTCCTACCAGAGTGCCTTGGAAGAGCTTATAGTGGGGAAAGAATTAATAAAGCAGGAGGTGTAATCACCAGCTGTAATGAAAGGCAAACAAGCTGCAGAATTAAATGGGCTGTAAGGCTCGTGTGCCAAGAATTTCATACAGATAATTCTCATTACCAGTATATGGATACTATCTGTGTTTAGATACACAGCAGCACTATGATGGCTTAAATACAGGGATTTAGCTGAAGTGCAGTATTTGTTTGTAACAGTCTGTGTTCAGGCACTTTACTTCCTCCCCTAGGAGATGACGCATAGCATAAACCCGTTTTCCTCCCATTTCTGTCCAAAAGTAGAAGCAAGTATAGCTTATACAGCGGCCATGCTATTATATACAAAAGCCAACTTTCACTTTCCAGAAATGTCAACATAGCACTTTTCATGAAAAGTGCTAGGAAGGAGCGAGAACCATGCCATCGTCTGAACAGCTGTCATGGAAAAAAAAATCCCTACCAGATATGTGCAAGAAGAGCAGAAGGTAGTCCTGTCTTCAAGAATAGTTCTCTGGCTTCCACACCTGACACAAATCCATCCATGTCCTTGTCAGTTTTCACAAAGATCTCATCATACTTAATTTTGTCTGCAGGCGATACAACCCACTAAAGGGGGGTGGGGATGGAAAGGGGGAAAAAAACCAAACAAACAAAAAAAACAAACAAAAACCATAGTACTAAGATATAGGCCGTTCTGTTTTCAGATAGTTACTTTCAGAGTTACATAATTCAAAGACTACAACACAGATTTAAGAAGTGACATAGGTACCTAGTTCATGAACCAGTTTTATCCTCCAAAATAGAGATGCACAGAGATCCACAAGCAACTCCAAAAGCAGAAGCAAAGTATTTACATCAGTGAAGAACCAAGACTGGCTGATACCGCTCTGCCTCTTTGCCTATGTGTTAGAAACACTCTCTGGAGCCCAGATCTCCTCCCAGCATGGGGTTGTGCCCTCATCACTGTGCTCAGTCACAGTCCTGCTTACTGTCTGGCTCCATCAATTTTATTCCTCTTTACACAGCTGGAGACCTTTAGCTGGAGGGACTGAAGAACTGCTCAAGCCCAGACTACTAACAGTTGGCACATTCCAAATTGTAGAATTTACCTTCAGTCAAGGTAAAGACAGGAATTATAGCCACTTCTCTTACTTCAAGAATTTTTTCAAACACTAAGCTGCTATAAAGATTTTTTTTTTTCGAGTGAAAATGCTTTCAGGTGCATGCTTGTCGATGCTAATTAATTTCAGCATACAAGGACACTTAGATGAATCCCAAATGGTGCTGTACACAAAACATACACTGAAACACTCATCCAGAATGGCATTGCTTTGTAATACACACAGCAAGACTTACCAAGTAAACTGCCAGATGAAAACCTTGGCACTTCCAGAATCAAGGTGCCAGTTTCTCACTGATTACTCAAATATGGGTACCCAAATGTTCAAGCAGTATCTTATGCATTAAGTTCTACAGTTCTCACCTCAGATCCCCTTCTCATTTTTTTCTTATGTTGAATAGAACGAGTAAGTTATAATCTACTTGGAAAGACATCTTCCCAAATTCTGCATTCTAAAATGACCAGGATTAAATAAGATGCTTGGAGGGGTGGAAGGCGTCAAGTTTCTTAATAATTACATTCAAAACAAACACCAAATCTTGTGTGTTTAGGTGGATATGCCAGACCATTTGTCTCCTTTTCCCATTGCTTGCATTTATCTATTCCATTTTCATTAATGTCTTCCACAAATTGCAGGCATGCACATACATGCTTGCCACAAATCGTTTTATGAACTTGTCCATATTCAAATCAGTCTTCAGCCATAAGACTTACGTTCTGCAGATGTGTATCTGGACTACATTTTTAAACTGTTTTCTTAACATTCTGACCTTTGGTTTGATGCTTTGAAATAATTTATTTTAAAAAAATCTTCAAAATCTTTACTAAATAATATTCTTTTATCTAACTGTTTATATCTGAAGACATGTAGAAAAAGCAGAAGATAAATTTCATACCTCTCCACCTGGTCTTCCCATCAGTCTCCTCAAATTCATCAACCAATGAATAGGGCAGGAAGGAAACTAAACCTCTATCAAGACTTCATACAGGCAGTCTCCAAAGCACAGCATTAAGAGCAGAAATCTTCTAACCTCAAGCAACGTCACAACTATACCTGTGTTAATGGTGTTTTGGCAGCTAAAACGCCTACAGGTGGCAAGGACTGATGAGACTCTTTGGTAGATGTTGAAGATGGAATTAATGGCATTGCTCCTGGAACACTAATCGGTTTTCTCTTGGATGGTGGCACCAAAGCTGCAGGCAGGGACATTGGCACTGGTTCTTTCTCCAAAGCACAGTACACCAAAAACATGGCCTGAACAAGAAAACAAGGTGTGTGGATACAAATATATAAGAAATAAGTATCTATATAAATTAAAGAATTAGTTAAGAAATAACTTCATAGCATTTTTTCCATTATGTTTCTCTTTACAAGCCCCCCTAAACTGAATTGCAGCTTATTGCCTTCTGACCTGTGTTTGTCATTACTACTTTCTTTTGAGGTTCAGTGCTTAGTAAATGAAGTTCAGTATCTTTTAGAACATTAAAATGATTCTCCTAAATATTACCAAGCTTGTACCACCACTTGTGGAATTTTATCTGGGAGAACATTTATTTGGGAGAACACTTTAAACAATTTTAATTTATTCACTGTTTTCTCAGGAGTTGCTCCACTTAGTGACTATTCTTTTGTTGTGGTTGTACGTTTTAATAACTTTATGACTGTTGTTCAAGACACAGAACTGTATCTTAAATAGATGTTATAATACTTTACAGATTATCAGTTTATCTCCAACATTTGCCTAGAGCATATCAATCCTCTGATCTCAAAGCTAGAAGTCTGAAGAATTACAGCATAAACACAGGAAATCAAGTATAGTAACAGTTAACTACTAGGGTCTTAAAGGAATTGGTTTCAGAAGAAACTGAAGCATATAGGTGCCTGCAGATGACTACAACAATATTCAAGAAAGCAATTTTTATACTTTCTCAAAAATTTATGTGACAGCAGAAAAGGTAAATTCATCATATTTACATTACAAAAAAAAAAAAACAAAACACAACAAAGCAAGGTTTTGATGTTGTCCGTAATGGCAATTCTTGGCAATTAAACAGGTATTTTGAACTTTCTTTTTTTTTTTTTTTTAATTTTGACTCTGAAAGGATGAGCAATAGTTTAGTTGGTAGAAATCAGAATTAAAGGCTGGCTTTAGTGCCACTTGAAGACAGAAAGGTCACATTACTTTTTCAAGATTCTTGCAACGCAGAATGCAGTTAGGATATTTTGTTAGCTTTTCCAAACCTTTAAACTTAGGTTTGATATTTCTCTGCACAAAATGAAAACCTCTCCTCCAAGAGTGAATTTATAATTCCCTCCTCTCCAATTTACTTACATGCAACACGAAGCTGAAAGTTTTGAGGAAAAAGTTGATGCATGGTTACTATCGCATACAAGACTTAGAGCCTTCAACAGCAAGAGCCTCCCACTCTCTTCTCACTTGCCATCTCTTGGGTGAAGTGAAAATTATCTACTACTTCTTATATTATTTCATCAGTCCTGGCATTAATAGTGTTAAAATTCTAACTAGCTATGAACTTTTGAAGAATTTGTACATAATTTCTTTAAAATTTTCCTCAAAGGTATCTTGAGGCATTCAAGTACTATAAACACTGAAGGTTAAGCTAAAACTTATTCAGTGAAATCACTCGGTCTCTCATGGGACAGCAGATCACAGGTATAAGTTTAATGGCTCATTTATCCCCCAAAGAAAGTTTCTGCTGTGTAATGAGAGACATTCAATAAACTGAAAGAAACATTAACTAGTGCTAAAACTTGATTAAGGTCTCTGAATAAAGGCAATAAATGAACCACACAAACAGTCAAAAAATAATACACGATGCATCTATTTTAAACCTCTGCCATTAGGCTTTCAAAATCCCAAGAGGCAGAAGATACTTACAACAGCAAACTCATCTCGATCCAACATTCCATCACGGTCAATATCGCTCAATTCCCACACCTACCAATAAAAAGCAGAATATAGGGAAGTTTGCCTAAACTGCAGCAGTTTCCTATTTAAAACCTCATTAAAAACAAATGTGAGAACAGCCTCCCTCAACCATATCCTAAGTTCTATTAAGATTAACAGCATTCGTTTTCAGTGGGCAACATACATTCATATAAACCATGCAAAAGAAGAGAGATTCTTAAGTTGGAGACAGAGTGCACTAATGGCACCCTGCCCTAAACCAAGTGTTAAAGAGTACACGTAACTGATACACTGTGGTAAGAAGCAATCTATCAAAATACCGAAAGAATTTTTTTTCCCCTTTCTTACAGTTTAACAGTTATACATGTGTGGCCACTCTGTAAGAGAGTATTTAATAGTTAGGCTTATTACTACAAATCTTCAATCTGAAAAACAGATATTGCTGGGTGTAGCACAGTTATTATTTGTGAATTAACAATTAAGTAGAAAGATATTCTTACTCGTCCTAAGATATCCACTGGCAGTTTTGAGTTAAGGAGCACAGGTTTCACCTTATCACCTGACAACAGTCCATTCACAGGATTTAGGCTGTCAAAAATAGCATCATACTTGGCCTTGTCTTCCAGCTACGGGGGCAGAAGAAAAATATTACTTATGGACATAGTCACACTTGTAGGCTAAGAAGCAGTAGTTCCTTCAAAAGTATTAATTTTTTTTCTTAAGTTACAGTTGGAAACACACAGATTGCAGTTCCTGACGTTTAAAAGAAAATACGAAAGAGATATTATTTCTAAGTCAGCTAGAGACTCATCCAAAACCCAGTGAGATTTACTCTTCAATTATTTTCATGACTTCAGCTAACTATTCCCAATAAATCAAATTTCTAAACACAAAGAGATTTCCCAAGGTACAAGCATTTTTATCAAATTAGGTCTACTAGCCCAATTACAGATTTGACATGAATGGTAATTTATCATACTTTATAAACTATAGCTATCAGTAGCATTATATTTTTCTCAAACACTTATGTTTTCTTGCAAATCACATCATAGTTCTAGGCAATAGCCCAATCTTTAGTTTACCTTAACAGCCCATGGTACATCACTTGATGCTGTTCCACTGAGTAGCAAAGGACTACTAGTATCAGTCTAAAGAAAAACAGGGAAAAAAACCCCACATTAAAAGAGAAATGGTTCTGACCTTGCAAAACCACTCCTGGTGCACCCTGAGAAGGTGCTTATTCTCAAAGCCAGAACTGCATTTTAGTCACTCATACCTTAGTTAAGGATATCAAAGTTTACAGTAAGAAATTTAAAATGTTTCTTCCATTAAGGACAACGCTAATAGAACAAATACCATATATATTCAAATTATACACAATTTTATATTCAAATCCCCACTAGAACATGTAGCACCTTATTCTTATTCCACATTGCTTAATTTTCCCCTATTGTAGGGCCCTATTGCCCTACAACATCACTTTCAGATGTGTTCGGTATTTATACCAAACCTTTCTAATTGTTCACTTAAAAGCAGTTCTTATTAATGAGTTGATATGTTCAATTAAAAAGAAATCTTACAAATCTTGGTGGAGGAACAGGCAAATTAAGACTACTCAGGGAAACATCCAATCCATTCTGTGCACATGCTACAAGTCGTAAAGCCACAAAAAATTCCTACAGGAAAAATGAAATTTTAAAGGATTTATTATATGAAAATACTCAAATTTCAGAAGAATTATGAGCTTTTCTAGTATTGCTATATACACAAAGGGTTGCAAATGGCTTCAAAGGGGGTCACAAAGTGACAGAAAGCAGCAGTCAGCAACCACTGAATTCCTCAAAGGCAAGCTCCAAGCATTTAGTAGCTTCCTGGCTAGTGTAGTCAGTTCTCAGCACTCAGTTCTTCAATGGCAGAGCAGTGAAAATTTAAAGTAGCAATTACAGTTATTTATCTTGGAGGAACTAAGTTGATCCCAAAGGTGGCAGTTGATGGAGGGGCAGGAAAGAAAGGTAGAACACATGAGAAAAAATGAAACAAAAGGAGAAGTCTGAAAAAAAAATTTGTTTGGTAGATGCTACAAACTCCTCCTTTTCCTACCACAGGATGAAGCAGCTAGCTCTCCACAGGCCGTTATTTAAGTAACTACACTTCAGACCAAAAAGCAACAGCAATGCACATTAGAGCTTTTCAGTAGCACCACTGATATGCAAGTCTGACTGCCATACTGCTCATCGCTACAACTTTGGAAGTACAACTCCAAACAGAATGTACTAGTGTCAAGTCCACCAAAATTAGATACACAGATACAAGAATTCTGAAGATTTTACTAGAATTTTTATTCCTGCATTGTTTCTTCCAAGATTAAGAGGAAAAGCACCTTTCTAGTAAATACAGCTCATTAACCTTTAAATTACTTCTCAGTATATTGTATTGCACAGCTACACAGCAGCTCATTTTATGACTTGAAGAAAAACTGATAAGGTAGCTGAAGGCTGCTTAATTATTGTAGCTTACACTGAAGTGGGAAGTACATATCCAGTTGCAATTAGAAAAATCTGGAAAAAATCCGTTACAAAAACTGCTTTCCTGAATCAGTAATCTTAACTTTTATCTTATTTCAAGGCTTGCTAATGGTTAGAGTAACCTCATACATCATATAAATAATCATACCTGTTTGTTCAGGATGCCTTTGCCATCAGTGTCAGCTAAGTCCCAAATCTAAAACATAAAAATAATAGACACAAAAAGTTCCACTGCACTGAGACGAAGTTCACAAGTTCTCACTCCATTTAACGATGCATTCTTGGACAAAAGTTCAGGTCATAACTTTCATGATAGCACTTATTTGTGGTGAAAAATTTAAATATTGTTTTAATTTCCACCACAAACTACATACATCGTAGAATAATCAAGGATACTGAAGTTGGAAACTATTGGATAGCACAACTGAGAACACACTAAGGAAGATCACTGTATCACTGTAAGGTATCCTTTAGTACCACTAAGTATTTTCATTTACACAGGATACTAACTGAAGCAAGAGACAGGATAATTAAATAATTGTCATTAAATACCTTTCCAAGTACCAAATCTGTCAATCCAGACTTTTTCAAGAAAACAGCTGCATCAGAAGCTAACACTCTTCCAGCATTAGCAGAATCAACCTGGGGGGAGAAAAAACCCCACATGACAAACTAGCTTTTGAATTGATGCAATCTCTTTACACAGGCTCTCAAAAAGCTAGCTCAAGAAGAATGCTCAAGAAGAATGCTCAAGTTAACACTGTCACTTTGAGAACAATCTTCGACTTCTTTTTTTTTTTAAATCATATTACATTAGAAGTAAGACATTTTGAACTAGTTGCTCCAGATTTAATATTAATAGGCATACTCTGGAAATTGATATCTTAAACTAACACTGCCAATTTAAGATATATATATGCATATATACCTAAGCATCTTTCACACTCTAATACATTTTACAATGTTACAGAAAAATACACTATTATCCCCATCTGTCAGCAGGCAACTAAGACACAGGGAGAATAAGAATTTTGCCTAGACGACCCAGTTTGGGGCAGAAGCAAGGAAGGCAACCCAGGTCTCCCAAGTTACAAGCCAGCACCCCAACACAAGCTTACTCTTATAGGTCATCAATGAAGATTTAGATTAATTCCACTTAAAAAATGAAGAAAAAACACTAATACATACGCAAGCAATCAAATTTCCACTGCTGTAAGTTTCTAACCATTTATTATGCCTGGATTCAAGGTCTCCAGTAGAAAGTTTCAAGTACAGACAAAGGCCCAAGAATTTCTCAAGTTATGCAACAGACAGGGAAGCTTGTCCACATTAGGCCATCATCTGAACCTATCTAAGTCGCCCTTTGTAATCACAGAATTTTCTTCTTGATGCCTGCAAAACATCTGATTTGTAAGCAAGAGAAGTCCCAGAGTTTGATTACATTTAACTGTCCAGCTCTGAACTCATTATTGTTATTTCTGAAAAAGAAGGCTCTGCTTGAAGATACCTTTACCACCCTACAAGAGGAAAATGCTTACTCCCTAAAGTGAAACTTATTTACACAATGAAAAAGTTGGTAATAGTTCTGGCAGATTATCAACCAGCATGCATTTCTCCCTGGATCAATAGGGAGATAATTAAAATAGATTGTTATTCAAGCTCCTAAATGAAAACAGTGCCTCAGCTGTACCTTCAGGTAGAAGAAGCAAGCAGTAAAACTTGTGTCACATACGTGAGTACAAGGAAAATAGAGGAAAAGCTGCAAGTCTTTGAGGGCTTAAAGCAAAAGGATGCCTAAAAAGGGCACAGTATGGAGAAGAGGACTAAGGGTATCTTCAGTCAATTCAAACTGTCAGGCTTACTACATCAGACAGTAGCTGTACAGGTCCTACAAGATCTAGAGATCAAATAATATATTACATTTTATAGATAAAAATTATATAATATTTTCTTCAAAAACAAAGTCTTCCCATCTATGATCAGCTGAGACGCCCTGAAACTGAAGAATTTGCGACATGATCAACATTTCAAAGAACAGGAAAGAGGCAACAGACATCACTTACTTTCCACACTTCCTGGAGAAAAAGAGACAGAGAACCAAAACTGAAATCATACAAATAAATGAGATTGCATGGAAAACTGAAATACATCCACAAAAAGAGTAAGTTGATGCTAGCATTAGATTTCCTAGCACACCTTTTTGAAGATCAATGCTTTTTGAGCACTTGCTGAACACCGAGTCATCATGGCTGTCTTTGAAATAGCCTGAGAATGCCTGGTGAAAACTAGTGCTTCAGATAGAACAGCAAGGTTGGGACTACACAGCAAAACACTTGATGATGATGATGATGCATTGCATCATTTACAGTCTCACAGCTTTGTGTTTAAACAAAGACTATATTCAATTTTTTGTTTGGAACAGAAGACCAACCTTCCAAGTTCACAGATGCAGCACACACAAGGTGCTCAAAGCAAACAGCTCCCAAAGATGGGCTTAGAACTAGCCAGTGAAAGACTGCAGAGAATCTATCATTTGGAAAGCATACTGCAGCAGATGAAGGTTGTCTGTAGACACTTCTGCTTCTAAAAGTGATCAAAAAAAAAACCTCTGAAAGCAATCCCAAAAGCATTATTTAATACGAATGTGAAAACATCTTTCGTTTTCAACATAACTAATATGATTTTAATTAGGAGACTTTGTTTCCTATAATTGAGGATTCCCTGATCAGGGTAATAAAATTACAAACACTACAGCCTTGTAGTTAGCCTGCTCCTCAGATTTTTAAAATATCTAATTCAGTCTGTATGGGAGAGCTGTTCACATTATAGGCAAAAAAGTTGCCAAGACATTGCATCAAATCCCCTTTTCCGTTAGCCAAGTCAACCTTGCACATAAGCACAGTAATCCTGGCATCCACTCAGAAAACCTCCAGCCTAGGACTTTTCTACTCTTTTGGGAAAGTCACAAACACCATATCAGCTGTGTTTATTTTTTATTTGCTCACCTCCATCCAGAGGAAGGTGACTTTAAGGGATTTAAGCAGGATTCTTATTTAACCCAATATGGATACAGTTTCTTTTTGTGCAACTCATTCCCTATATTTTAGTAACCTTTTTTTTTTTTTTTTTTTTTTTAAAAGGACTGATTTCAATTTCTTTACCAATTACTGAGCCTTGCATGCTGGGATGGGGGTACTTACTAAGTATTAAAATAGTGCAGAAAACTGGCTTATGTTTGACTATCTGACTGAGAAGATCACTGGTGTTTGTCAGTTATACAACAGCTGAGTAGAGGTTTTTCTCTGATGTGCAAAAAGGATTTATCATAGCTCTTGTTGCAAGTTGTTTTTTGTAGGGCCAGAAATGATTAGAAGTTAAAGACATATATCTGATGTCATTAGGTCACAAGGTAACAGTGAGAAGTACTTCAACTCAGGATTCATCAAGAATTCATCAGCAGCTCAGGCATACTGCTTACCTGCTACACTGCATCACATGATTAAGTAATTTCCTATTACTTTATCACATGTAAATTTATCCTTTAACCTCACTCTGTTTTGAGGGCCAGTCTAGAAAAGGTTAATCAGAAAACCTTTTATTAGAAAGAAAAGTGTCCCCATCTAAAGTTTAAGATTTCAATTGCATTTTAAGTACAAAGCCCAGGACTTAAAACTATTTCACAACATATGTTATGCAAGATGAATTATTTTAAGTTTGTGATAGAACTTGAAGTGTACTAAGCATCAGAGCTATTTCAGGTGATGAATTTATTCTCAAGTTACACTGAATGCTCTGAAGCGCTTCTGCTATGAAAGAATAAAAACATGCTCTACCAGCACCATAGGATAAAGTGGGAAATGTCTTTAACTCTTCTATTCTGAAAGTTGACATCTTCTTATCTAATGGAGGGAAGGAAAAAAATTATCTAATGCAACTGAAAGTCTTTAGATACAGTACATCGGAAAGCTACTCTTTAGGACTGCAGAAAAGAGTTTGGCTGAGCAAGTCAGAAAATTAATCCTCTAGAAAACAAATCCATTGGCACAACTTCACTAACAGTAACATCACTTTTAAAGAATCCCTGTTCCTGTATACTACTGAGACTGCTAAACAACAAGTAGTGCTCCAATTTCACTAGGCTATATATTCCAACAAATGCAAGATGTTAAGTGACTTAGGAACCAGTATCACATCTGTGCTCAAATTCATTTTCTTTATCCAACTTTTTGCTTCACACTTCAGTTGTTAAGCAATTGCAATCAGGAGGAAGAGACAGACAGGCCTGTGGCAAAGATGATACATGACAGCGATAGTCAGTAGCACTAAGCTAGGACACCTAACGTGCAAAAAAATCAGCTCCTTGCCTTTTCTTGTGACCTGATAATGATCACCACAATACGGGATTCTCCTAAGGCTTTTAATCCAATGCCTAGAGATAGACACACAGTGGATTTGACAATCCTACTGAAGGAAAACTTTGTGAAGGTGATACTATCTCCTTCAACCTTCAGGAGCCATCTGAACTTAGCTCAAGGTAAACTCTCTCTTCTTGTTTAGCAATTTCAAAACTGCTACTCTCCCGTAGTGGGAAAAAACCCTTGTTAAAGTAGAATAGAAAGCTCAAACTTTCCAGGCATCATAGGCTGATACACTTTAACTGCTATTTTATACACTTGATAATGGGACTAATCCTCTAAGCACGATCCAAAAATAGAGCGTGGATAGAAATCATGGTCTTCTCTCTTCCCCAGCAGATAAGCTTACATTCTAATGTTGACACCCAAAAGAAGTTCCTAAATAAAAAGGTTATTTATCACTATATCCTGCCTTAGGACCAACAGACAGGAACATTACCAGTTGCACAAAGGAGAAAAGACTTCCTATAAGGTTGGTTTTTACATGGTTCATCAATTACTCATCAGGTCTTTATATTAAAAAAAAACAAACTATTTTTAATTGTTTTATACAATTATTCTTTTAGTTTACATTTCTTTACAAGTTTTCATTTCTTTACAATTTTTCATATACCTATGTTTGTACAATAAGGTATATTATGCACATGATACAAAATATTGCTATAATAGAGTAGTTAAAACAGATATTTTTCAAAAAAGCTGTATTATAGGAATTAATACACCTTATTTTTGCTGGACCTAAATATAAAAGACAGGTCATAAATAAAATTTATATTATTGTATTTTAT